ACACGAGGTGCCTAGAGGCCAGAATTGAATTCCCTGAAGAGTTCAACTCATTACATTCAGTATCCAGTGAGAAAAGACAACTTTTTGATTTTTTACAAAATGCCCCCAAACTTCAACGTTTTCCATAGCCGGCATCATCGAAAAAGTCAGTTTTTCACCCAAAAATCAAAGTTGACGAAAATTGCTCAAAAGTTCACACGAGGTGCCTAGAGGCCAGAAATGAATTCTCTGAAGAGTTCAACTCATTACATTCAGTATCCAGTGAGAAAAGACAACTTTTTGATTTTTTACAAAATGCCCCAAAACTTCAACGTTTTCCATAGCCGGCATCATCGAAAAAGTCAGTTTTTCACCAAAAAATCAAAGTTGACGAAAATTGCTCAAAAGTTCACACGAGGTGCCTAGAGGCCAGAATTGAATTCCCTGAAGAGTTCAACTCATTACATTCAGTATCCAGTGAGAAAAGACAACTTTTTGATTTTTTACAAAATGCCCTCAAAACTTCAACGTTTTCCATAGCCGGCATCATCGAAAAAGTCAGTTTTTCACCCAAAAATCAAAGTTGACGAAAATTGCTCAAAAGTCACACGAGGTGCCTAGAGGCCAGAATTGAATTCCCTGAAGAGTTCAACTCATTACATTCAGTATCCAGTGAGAAAAGACAACTTTTTGATTTTTTACAAATGCCCCCAAAACTTCAACGTTTTCCATAGCCGGCATCATCGAAAAAGTCAGTTTTTCACCCAAAAATCAAAGTTGACGAAAATTGCTCAAAAGTTCACACGAGGTGCCTAGAGGCCAGAATTGAATTCCTGAAGAGTTCAACTCATTACATTCAGTATCCAGTGAGAAAAGACAACTTTTTGATTTTTACAAAATGCCCCCAAAACTTCAACGTTTTCCATAGCCGGCATCATCGAAAAAGTCAGTTTTTCACCCAAAATCCACTTGACCAATTTGCTCAAAAGTTCACACGAGGTGCCTAGAGGCCAGAATTGAATTCCCTGAAGAGTTCAACTCATTACATTCAGTATCCAGTGAGAAAAGACAACTTTTTGATTTTTTACAAAATGCCCCAAAACTTCAACGTTTTCCATAGCCGGCATCATCGAAAAAGTCAGTTTTTACCCAAAAATCAACGTGACCAATTTGCTCAAAAGTTCACACGAGGTGCCTAGAGGCCAGAATGAATTCCCTGAAGAGTTCAACTCATTACATTCAGTATCCAGTGAGAAAAGACAACTTTTTGATTTTGTACAAAATGCCCCCAAAACTTCAACGTTTTCCATAGCCGGCATCATCGAAAAAGTCAGTTTTTCACCCAAAAATCAAAGTTGACGAAATTGCTCAAAAGTTCACACGAGGTGCCTAGAGGCCAGAATTGAATTCCCTGAAGAGTTCAACTCATTACATTCAGTATCCAGTGAGAAAAGACAACTTTTTGATTTTTTACAAAATGCCCCCAAAACTTCAACGTTTTCCATAGCCGGCATCATCAAAAAAGTCAGTTTTTCACCCAAAAATCAAAGTTGACGAAAATTGCTCAAAAAATCACACGAGGTGCCTAGAGGCCAGAATTGAATTCCCTGAAGAGTTCAACTCATTACATTCAGTATCCAGTGAGAAAAGACAACTTTTTGATTTTTTACAAAATGCCCCCAAAACTTCAACGTTTTCCATAGCCGGCATCATCGAAAAAGTCAGTTTTTCACCCAAAAATCAAAGTTGACGAAAATTGCTCAAAAGTTCACACGAGGTGCCTAGAGGCCAGAATTGAATTCCCTGAAGAGTTCAACTCATTACATTCAGTATCCAGTGAGAAAAGACAACTTTTTGATTTTTTACAAAATGCCCCAAAACTTCAACGTTTTCCATAGCCGGCATCATCGAAAAAGTCAGTTTTTCACCCAAAAATCAAAGTTGACGAAAATTGCTCAAAAGTTCACACGAGGTGCCTAGAGGCCAGAATTGAATTCCCTGAAGAGTTCAACTCATTACATTCAGTATCCAGTGAGAAAAAGACAACTTTTTGATTTTTTACAAAATGCCCACAAAACTTCAACGTTTTCCATAGCCGGCATCATCGAAAAAGTCAGTTTTTCACCCAAAAATCAAAGTTGACGAAAATTGCTCAAAAGTTCACACGAGGTGCCTAGAGGCCAGAATTGAATTCCCTGAAGAGTTCAACTCATTACATTCAGTATCCAGTGAGAAAAGACAACTTTTTGATTTTTTACAAAATGCCCCCAAAACTTCAACGTTTTCCATAGCCGGCATCATCGAAAAAGTCAGTTTTTCACCCAAAATCAAAGTTGACGAAAATTGCTCAAAAGTTCACACGAGGTGCCTAGAGGCCAGAATTGAATTCCCTGAAGAGTTCAACTCATTACATTCAGTATCCAGTGAGAAAAGACAACTTTTTGATTTTTTACAAAATGCCCCCAAAACTTCAACGTTTTCCATAGCCGGCATCATCGAAAAAGTCAGTTTTCACCCAAAAATCCAAGTGACCAAATTTGCTCAAAAGTTCACACGAGTGCCTAGAGGCCAGAATTGAATTCCCTGAAGAGTTCAACTCATTACATTCAGTATCCAGTGAGAAAAGACAACTTTTTTGATTTTTTACAAAATGCCCCAAAACTTCAACGTTTTCCATAGCCGGCATCATCGAAATCAGTTTTTCACCCAAAAATCAAAGTTGACGAAAATTGCTCAAAAGTTCACACGAGGTGCCTAGAGGCCAGAATTGAATTCCCTGAAGAGTTCAACTCATTACATTCAGTATCCAGTGAGAAAAGACAACTTTTTGATTTTTACAAAATGCCCCCAAAACTTCAACGTTTTCCATAGCCGGCATCATCGAAAAAGTCAGTTTTTCACCCAAAAATCAAAGTTGACAAAATTGCTCAAAAGTTCACACGAGGTGCCTAGAGGCCAGAATTGAATTCCCTGAAGAGTTCAACTCATTACATTCAGTATCCAGTGAGAAAAGACAACTTTTTGATTTTTTACAAAATGCCCCCAAAACTTCAACGTTTTCCATAGCCGGCATCATCGAAAAAGTCAGTTTTTCACCCAAAATCAAAGTTGACGAAATTGCTCAAAAGTTCACACGAGGTGCCTAGAGGCCAGAATTGAATTCCCTGAAGAGTTCAACTCATTACATTCAGTATCCAGTGAGAAAAGACAACTTTTTGATTTTTTACAAAATGCCCTCAAAACTTCAACGTTTTCCATAGCCGGCATCATCGAAAAAGTCAGTTTTTCACCCAAAAATCAAAGTTGACGAAAATTGCTCAAAAGTTCACACGAGGTGCCTAGAGGCCAGAATTGAATTCCCTGAAGAGTTCAACTCATTACATTCAGTATCCAGTGAGAAAAGACAACTTTTTGATTTTTTACAAAATGCCCCAAAACTTCAACGTTTTCCATAGCCGGCATCATCGAAAAAGTCAGTTTTTCACCCAAAAATCAAAGTTGACGAAATTGCTCAAAAGTTCACACGAGGTGCCTAGAGGCCAGAATTGAATTCCCTGAAGAGTTCAACTCATTACATTCAGTATCCAGTGAGAAAAGACAACTTTTTGATTTTTTACAAAATGCCCCAAAACTTCAACGTTTTCCATAGCCGGCATCATCGAAAAAGTCAGTTTTTCCCCAAAAATCCAACTTGACCAATTTGCTCAAAAGTTCACACGAGGTGCCTAGAGGCCAGAATTGAATTCCCTGAAGAGTTCAACTCATTACATTCAGTATCCAGTGAGAAAAGACAACTTTTTGATTTTTTACAAAATGCCCCCAAAACTTCAACGTTTTCCATAGCCGGCATCATCGAAAAAGTCAGTTTTTCACCCAAAAATCAAAGTTGACCAAAGTACGAAAATTGCTCAAAAGTTCACACGAGGTGCCTAGAGGCCAGAATTGAATTCCCTGAAGAGTTCAACTCATTACATTCAGTATCCAGTGAGAAAAGACAACTTTTGATTTTTTACAAAATGCCCCCAAAACTTCAACGTTTTCCATAGCCGGCATCATCGAAAAAGTCAGTTTTTCACCCAAAAATCAAAGTTGACAAAATTGCTCAAAAGTTCACACGAGGTGCCTAGAGGCCAGAATTGAATTCCCTGAAGAGTTCAACTCATTACATTCAGTATCCAGTGAGAAAAGACAACTTTTTGATTTTTTACAAAATGCCCCAAAACTTCAACGTTTTCCATAGCCGGCATCATCGAAAAAGTCAGTTTTTCACCCAAAAATCAAAGTTGACC